TTCTCTTTCTCCTAGTTCCCTCTCCACTCACTGCCCCCCCACTCACCATATGCTCTGGAGATCTTGTCCCTTTCCCCTTCTGTGAGGGACCTTATATGAATTTCTTAGAATCCTCCTTGTATCCTAGTTTCTCTGGCAGTGTGAATTATAGGCTGGTGATCCTTTGCTCTAGGTCCAAAATCCATATATAAGCAAGTACATACCATGTTCCCCTTTTTGTGACTAGGTTACCTCATTCAGGATGGTTTCTTCAAGTGCCATCCACTTGCCTGCGAATTTCAAGGTTCCATTGTTTTTTTTTTTTTTTTCTGCAGAGTAGTGTTCCATTGTGTAAATGTGCCACATCATCTTTATCTATTCTTCAGTTGAGGGGCATCTAGGTTGCTTCCATGTTCTTACTATTACAAATAATGCTGCTATGAACATAAAAGAGCACATGTCTCCTGTTGCATGGATGTGGATCATTTGGGTATATGCCTAAGAGGGGGATTGCCCGGTCCTGTGGTAGACTGATTCCCATTTTCCTGAGGAACCACCATACTGATCTCCAAAGTGGCTGCACAAGTTTGCACTTCTACCAGCAATGGAGGAGTGTTCCCCTTTCTCCACATCCTCTCCAGCATAAGTTGTCATTGGTGTTTCTAATTTTAGCCATTCTAATTTAGTAAGATGGTATCTCAAAGTTGTTTTGATTTGCATTTCCCTGATAGCTAAGAATTTTGAGCACTTTCTTAAGTGTCTTTCAGCCTTTTTGATTTCCTCTATTGAGAGTTCTCTATTCAGTTCTGTACCCATTTTTTAATAGAGTTATTTGATGTTTTGTTGACTAGTTTCTTGAGTTCTTTGTATATTTTGGAGACCGGCCTTCTGTCAGATGTAGGATTGGTGAAGATCTTTTCCCAGTCTGTGGGCTGCCCTTTGGACTTGTCATCTATGTCCTTTGCCTTACAGAAGCTTCTCAATTTGAGGAGGTCCCATTTATTAATTGTCAATCTCAGTGTCTGTGCTACTGGAGTTATGTTCAGGAAGTGGTCTTCTGTACCAATTTGTTCAAGGGTACCTCCCACTTTCTCTTCTAAGAGGTTCAGTATAGTTGGATTTATGTTGAGATCTTTGATCCATTTGGACTTGAGTTTTGTGCATGGGGATAGACATGGGTCTATTTGCAGTCTTCTACACACCATCATCCAGTGTGCCAGCACCATTTGTTAAAGATGTTTTCCTTCTCCCATTGTATACTTTTAGCTGTTTTGTCAAAAATCAGGTGTTCATAGAAAGAAATTAAAGAAGATACCAGAAAATGGAAAGATCTCCCATGCTCTTGGATAGGTAGGATAAACATAGTAAAAATGGCAATCTTGCCAAAAGCAATCTACAGATTCAATGCAATCCCCATTAAACTCCCAGCACAATTCTTCACCGACCTTGAAAGGAAAATAATCAACTTTATATGGAAAAACAAAAGATCCAGGATAGCCAAAACAATCCTGTATAATAAAGGAACTTCAGGAGGCATCACCATCCTCAACTTTAAGCTCTACTACATAACTATTGTCCTGAAAACAGCCTGGTATTGGCACAAAAATAGAGAGGTACACCAATGGAATCGAATTGAAAATCCTGACATTATCCACACACCTACGAACACCTGGTTTTTTGACAAAACAGCTAAAAGTATACAATGGGAGGAGGAAAGCATTTTCAACAAATGGTGCCATCTTCAGTTAACAGCAAGGCTTTTAACTTTTTTTCTCTCAGAATGTCCTTGTTTTACTTTCATTCTTAAAAGATAGGTTTGCTAGGTATTACAATCTGGTTGACAATTCTTTCACCCTGGCTGCCAGCTTCTAGCATATGCATTAGCATCCAGAACTAAGGGTAAGACCTTTGAGAAAAAAGCTGGCAGGGCCACACCCAATCTATGGGAGTAGCTTTTCTTCCCTTGAGTTTTAGCCACCTGCAGTTTCCTGCTGTTCCAAAGGCCAAGGCAAGATCATCTGAGAACTGAGTTGTAAGAAAATGGAGAAAGATTTGAAAAGAGAAATCACTTCTCCCACTCATCCTGCGCATCAGACCACTCCTTTCCGGAATCTCGAGACAGAGCTGAAGGGGCTTGTGCTGGTCCCAGCTTCAGGGTTTGTCGTCTTGAGACCAGGGTGGAAGATATGCAAGGAAACAAAACTGCTAAACTCCTGCCACTCTGCCACCCTGCTGGCCTTCTTCAGTTAGCCCTGCCGGTGGCTTCCTTTAGGAATCCTCACATAGCTTCCATGTGTGTGTTTTGTTGCGATTTTATTGCTGCATTCAGTGAGCAGGGTGCTTACCCAGAGCTGGAATGAAAATTGCTTTTGAAACTGAAAGAATTTTAAATATTTCCTAATTAGTACAAAACAAAATTACTGATTTCTTTGGAATAATTTTATCTCATTTTATGTTTATAATCCTCATTTTTGCAATTTACATTATAACTAAACAGTGATTCTTTTCTCAATTACCTGCTTTCTGAGGCTCAGTAGAATTCTTTACTGGCTGATACCATTCCAGATGAGAGCAGTGTGAGTGGAAGAGCTCTCTTGATTTGGGGACTTTGCTAGTGGAGAATTCTGGGAAATGTAGTCTTCTAAGTACCAAAGTGGGGGGGGGGAATAACAGAAAAGAAGCTATGGAGATAGATGACAAACTCAGAATTTTTCTCCCCATAAACATGGAATGATTACATGATGTTCTTTTGTTTTACTTTATTATGAAAAAGTCACCAGTTTAATTTAGATTGTCATTAAGACAGATGAAACATGTCATCAGTTAGTTCTAGAGAGTAGCACTAGACTTTTTTTTTAACATTTCCCATGACCTTTTCAATTGCAATGTATTGCTCTTGCTACAATCATTCTTTTGTAATTTTCCGAAATGAATATATAATGATGGTAAGTTGACAGGAGAAGTCAATGTAACAATGCTCCCAAATGGGCACTAATTCTAAAAAGAAAGAAAGAAAGAAAAAGGTAAAAGAAAGTAAGTAAGTCCCTGGTAGATTTACTGTAAATATGAACTATGGGGAAAAAATTTGCCTTCATAAAGAATAGGGAAATTATAATGATTTCTTCATCCACATTATTACTATTTACAAAGCTACTTTTGGAACAACAGGTCGGTACTGCAGAGTCTTAACGTAATCAGTGAAGTTGCTTTGCAAATTCTTTTGGAAAACTCAGCTGGGATAGAGAGTAGAAGGCACCAAGTTCTTCTCTGCTATCCGTCAGTGTTTATTGACCACCTACCATGTGTTAGACTCTGTTCTAGGCACTAGGGATATAGCAAGAGGAAGAAGTTCTTTACCTCATTATGTGTACATTCTAATGGAGGCAGTGATCTAATAGACTGACTTTTTTAATTACAGATAACTAAATAGAGCAAAACTGGCACATAAGTACCTGGGGTGGGGGGAGATGGCTCAGCCACTGAAATGCTGCCAGCAAGCATGAGGACCTGAGCACCCATATAAAAAACAGACATGACAGTGCTAGTCTGAGTCAGCGAGCTCCAGGCAGGTCCACTGGGTGACCACTGGGTGACCACTGGGTGACCATCTCCATTAAGGTGGAAAGTGGTTTTAAAAAAAAAACCTCTAATACACACACACACACACACACACACACACACACACGTTTGCACACACATGCACAAGTGTGCACACAGGGTAATAAAAGGTGAAGGACGAGGGAGGCAGTGTTTTTATAGGTTGATCCAGGAAGGTATATTACTTCCTCAACACTGTGACCAAATATCTGGCTGAAGGCAGCTTAAGGAAAGAAGGATTGGTTTTGGCTGTGGTTTGAAGGACATGTAGTTCATTATGACAGCAAAGGCATGGCAGAAAATGTGTGTCCCCAATCAGGAAGCAAAGAAATGAGCACTCCTACTGAAAGAGCTTGCTCCCTTTTTTTCAGCTTGGGCCCTAGCTCACACCCGAAGTGGGCCATCCTTAGCTAAGTCCCTCTGGAAACACCCTCACAAACACAGCCAAGCACGTTTCCTAGGTGATCTAAATCCAGTCAAGTTACCAGTAGAGATTACCCATGGCAGAAGGCCTCCCTGAGATAGTGCTGTCTGAGCAGAGACTTGGAGGAAGCAAAAGAGCAAACTGGAAGTCCGGGTGTTCCAAACCCACGAAGCTGAGAGCAAAATGAGTGATGGGCAAAATCACTTAAGAGGACCACCAGAGAGCTGGGGTTGAGTAAAGGCGGGTGGCAAGGTGATAGAGAAGATTCCCAGCAGGCTCTGAGCAAAGGCACAGGGCTGGTTCAAGAAGAGGGAGCCCTTCCCATCCACCCAGGGGAGCAGACAAGAAACCAGACCAGCAAGTTAACATAGTCACTTATGGGTGGGCTAGAAATGGACCATCAAAATCCAGTTTCCCGGACTCTGTGGGCCCCTGTGCCCCTGTGATGCCAAGTAGAAGGCAGGGAAGAAACCCACACGGATCTTGGGTTTCGATCACTTAGCTTTTATCACTTATATTTCCCATCTTTCCAGCTTACTATTTTAATACTGCAAAGGATAACGTTTCTTAAGTGCCCTTGGGTATTTAAGATTCCTATTATCATTTATTTAGAAAGCCAAGAGCTGTTCGCATTAAATAACTGGCAATCACAAGTTGGTTTAGGGGAGTCCAAAATGTTCCTAAAGGTGTTCAGGTATTACTACTTCATGTGAGATGTCTGTGTGTCAAGGAGTGAGACTGGCGTGAAGACACTGAGGCCCAGAAAGTGACGGACATTCCCAGGGTCACATGACAAGTCAGTGGATAAATACCCCTCCCCATCCTCCAGCTCTGCGCAACAACTCCTGGTGGGTATAAAGGACCCTCAGCTGTCTTGCGATTGCCCTGGCTCCAGGGCTCTCAGGACGAGACCAACTATCTCTTTAAGAAGGAAAGTAAAGACGGGAGGCTTACGCAGCTGCAGGCGAGCTGCCGACTGGCTCATTCCCCCCCCCCCCCCCATCCACCTCTCTTCCCCGCCCTCCACTTCTTCCTCCCGGCAGCCCCAGCCCCAGCAAGCACCCGGCTAGCCACCTCCAGCTGGGGCTCCGGAGAGCAATCCGGCTGCCCTCCTGGGGCAGCCCAAAACATGGAAGCCTTCGCAGGTGATGACAAGGACCCCGGGGACCTCCGGGCCCACCGCCCAGCCGCGCCCGCCGCACCCAGGAGTGCAAATGCGGGGGTGCGGGGCGCCGGCCAAGCACAGGAGCTGCCCTAGCCCGTGGCTGGCAGCGAGTCCTCCGAGCTTGCGGGCTGCGGCCACCCGCGCTCACCCGCCCCTGTCTCTCTCTCCCCCACCGCCGCAGGTTGCTGATCACCGCCAGGCGGCTGCTGCAACGACTGCAGAGGCGCTGCGCCAAGCGGCGCAGGAGTCGTGCGAGCCGGCGGGACTGCGGAGGGCGAGTGGACCCAGGTGAGGAGGCCGAGGTGGAGCGGAAGGGGCCTGATCGGCCACCGGGGGCGGTTTGAGACCACTTGCTGCTGCGCAATCCAGTAGGGGCACTAGCAGAGGAGGGGATTAATCGTGACTCATTCCTACCCTCCCTCCATCCCCCTGCATCCTCCTAAGGACTCCTCTCGCTGGCGTGAAATTCACTAATTAGGGGATGCTGATTTCAGTAGGGAAGACACCCAAGGTCTTCCTTGACATCTAGTAGGTGGGTTTAAGGGAACTAGCTCTTCGCCCTTCTATTTGTTTTCTTCTTCTGGCATTCCGCAAACATGTGAGCTTCTGTTTGGACCCGCACACCCACCCCAAGGTCAAGTGTCTAAGACTGCTTCCTTCCTATCTTGCCCGCTGAGAAACATCAGAGCTCTGCAGTAGATCTGGCAGAATTTCCCATGATCCCTAGAGTGGGATCATTTGCCTCAGTCTCCCTGGAGCTTCCGCGGTTTGTGCTGTTTTCTCTCTCCACTCCCTAGCGGGGAGGCAGACGGCTTGCAACACCTGCCAGCCTGAAAAGTCCCACAGTACCCATGCCTCAACTCTGCAGGGGTGGAAAGGCTGGTCACATTACTACCCATTTCCTTGCCCTTCTCTGCTCATCTGGGGGTGTAGACCTGGCTGGGCTGTAGAATTTTCCCAGGAAATGCTGATCTCTGCAAGTCAAGGGGTATAAGGAAGTACCAGACTAAGGTTCTGGGCCTTAACTTGCTTGTTGACCCCAAGTGTGGGTGTCTGCTTGTTTGTTCAGTGCAGAAGTTGAACTAGATGGTCTGTACAGTTACAGTTTACCACCTGAGCATGGCTTCGATTACTCTGGAGTCTCATCTATTAAAAACAATTTAAGTTTAGACCTTGAAATAATTGGGGTCCCCTTGGTTAATCTCTTTAACTCTTGACTTCTCAAGTGAAATGTTGACCTTGTGGGCCTACAGCACGGAGGGAATCAGTTAATTCTATGGTGACATCCCTGCACTGACAAGTTACTTACCTTCCCCAAGCCTTAATTTCCTCATTTGTAAACTTGGGGAGAAGGGTGCCTGCCTCCCCAAGGTTGTTCTGGGAGTCATATGGGAACTCTTGAGGCAGTGCCAGCTTGACTGACACGGTAGGTTCTCACATATTCAGAATTTGGAGGTAAATTAGGGGAGAGAGGAGTTCTCCTCTGCCCTACCAGTCTCCTCCACATCCCTGTAGAAGGAGTCCCTGTGGGGAGAGGGGGGGGGCTGGGGATAATAGGCTGCAACCGGGAGATGCAAACATTTCCAACCCAAGAGCTGCAATGGTTCTAGCAAATGATGGTTGGTTGCCTGAAGGCACATATTACCGAGCCATGGGCTTGGAAGACCCTGGCATGCATGGGTGGCATCAGTCAAGGAATACAAGCCCCTGAGTGTTGAGTGCTGGCAGAGAGCAGGAGCCAGGCGTGCAGATCTCACATCAATCCTTGCCTTCCCTAGAATCTCTTCTGACACTGGAACAAGGATCAAGTTCAGGGTGCCCACATTTCCCATTCTCTGGTTCCTTCTTGATGTCATTCTCAGCCTGCCATCCATCATGGCTAGTTTTAGTTTATTCCAGATACCTTTTGCCTTTTGGCAGCAATATAAAGGAGGTTCCCAACATGGTGGGGCGGAGCTTTTGCTGCAGCACCAGTTAGGTCAAAAGAACGAGTGGTGCACCCCCCCACCCACCTGCTTCTGCCCTAAAACCGTGCTAGACCATGAGCTCCTCCTGGCAGAGGCCCAGGCTTTGCTTCTCTGTCTCCAGCCTCTGGCCCATGACTAGGCATAAAGTAGGTGCTTAATATGTGTTGAGTTAAATACATCTGAGAAGATGACACTTCCAAACCAACTGTAATAGGAAAGAACTGTGGTGAGTTGACTTGCAAAGGTCAGGCACTACACAGGTGTTGGCTGCCATTATATTGAGATTACCAATATTCATTATTGTCATCAGCTGTAACTACCAGACATTTTATCTGCACTTCTAGCATCCTCATTAGGGACAAAGGGGCCAGATGTGCCTGGGAACTCGAGGTTGGCAATCAGGGTCCAGATGGCCCTGGCTAGTGAGACACCACTCTGAAGGGGATTGGGGAGAGTGATTCCAGCCATTGCTGGGTGAGGGACGGAGGGCTGCACAGGAGAACTAGTCAAGCTAAGAAAGAAAGCAGTAGAATGTGGGAAGACCCAACTTCCCAGATGCCATTAAACTGCCTCCTCAACACCACCTGAATGTGTCACCTTGGCTTAGTTCTTTAGTGGGTGCTCATCTCCATCTGTACCGGAGAGGCCTGTCTAGGTGGTCCCTCGAACTCCGCCTGGTTCTGAAATTTTGTTAAGACTTTTAAAAATAAAAATGGATGGTTGTTTATTATTCCTAATATCACGTATGGAATGCCAGAGCACTGTAGGTGGTCCTTATAACAATTATACCTGTTAGGAAGGAAGGAGGCTGGGGCCTAGGGACAGTAGGGATTCTATTTGGCTCAGAAGCACCGCCCCTTTTATATATGTAGCTGACCCCCATGTATACCTTTTGCACACACCCACATGTGTCTACAAGTGTGTGTTCTGTGTATGTATGTATGGTGTGTATGTGGTGTGTGTGTGTGTGTGTGTGTGTATGTGTGGTGTGTGTGTATATATGTATGTGTGGTTTGTGTATATATGTGTGTGGTATGTCTGTAGTGTGTATGTGTGCTATATGTGTGTTGTGTGTATGTATGTATATATGTGTGTGTGGTGCGTATGTGTGGTTGTGTGTGTGAATGTATGTGTGGTATATGTGTGTGTGGTGTGTATGTGTGCTGTGTGCGTGTGGTGTGTATGTGTGTGGAGGGTGTGTATGTATGTATGTGTGGTTGTGTGTGTGTGTGTGGTGTGTATGTATGCTGTGTGTGTATGTGCACGTGCACACCCTTACACACAAACAATGGTGTTAGAACCAGGGAAGCTGTGAAGGATCAAGAGGGCTGATCAGGCATCTCCCAAAATGATTGCTGCAAAGGACATGCTGGGCTGAACTGGAGAGTGTATGAGTCAGGGCTGCAGAGCTCTTGCCATGAGCTCTGCTTAGCTGATGGATGAAGGGTTCCCCCTTCTCAAGGAGAATGCCTAGGTCTGAATGAAAGTTATGACAAATGTGCTTTTAGAGTGTTCCCTGTGTGCTATTTTAACATAGCTTCAATTATTTACTCCTCACACCATCCTAATACGTAGAGTCCATACATCATTGTACCCATTTTTGCAGTGAGGAAGCCCAGCAGACAGGCTGAGGGTGTTGCCCGGAGCTGGACAACTACCATATTACAGACCCTGGAGAATACGAAGCTGGGAACACATTGGCTTGTGGGAGTGGGGTGGTTAAGGAGATGATTTAGTTTGAGCCTTGCCTTAGACTGGGTCACCTTGGGTAAGCCAGTCTCCCTCTGAGAGTCAGCATCCCTACTGCTCAAACTGGCTGGCTCTAAAAGTCCAAAACATGACCCTATTCCAACACAGGGTGGAGGGGTTCCCAGTCCTTTTGAAAAAGGCTTAGTGTTTGTTATCATTCATTAGCTAGGCTCTGGGCCAACTGCATGGGTATGGGAAAGAGCAGGAACCAATCCTGAGGTTCAGGAAGCCCGATATGCAGATATGAGATGTCTAGGAGGCATATTGACACATAATTGGGGGATGGAGACAGAGAAAGAGTAGGAGATGGTCCTTCCTGCCCAGTGAGTCAAGAAGACCCAGAGAGCTGATGCCATTGGCATCTTTTTCTTTTCTTTCTTTTTTTTTTTTTTTTTTTTTTTTTTTTTTTTCCTGTGCTGATTTGGGGAATAATGACAATAAGATTTTTATGAGTTTCAGTGTTAAAGGCCTGTGAGTTCTTCTCCCAGCAGCTTAGAAAGTAGCAACAGAGTCTGAGGGACCACCTACAATCACTCTGTGATACTGTTTCAGTTGAATTCTACAGGTTGTTTCAGGGAAATCAGACCCTTTCCTGTCCTTAAAGGCTTCTAGAAGCAGGATCTGCTAAGTTTGTTTTTTGTTTTTTGAGACAGGGTCTCAAGCTAACCTTGGTCTCATGATCCTTTTCCTCCCAAATACTGGGATTATGGGTGTGTGCGGTCATGCTCTGCAGAAGTGTGACTTCTCTGTGTTGTTATAAAGTCTGTCAGGTACCCGTGACTTCCCGGAAGTTTTAGAAGCTTCTCCTCAGCCTCTAATCCACAAAGAAGAACCAATCACCCTGAGAAGTGGAGTCATTGCTAAAGGTTTCTCAAAAGGGAGGGGCCAGAACTGTCCAATAGGAACTGCACTTCGGAGTCAGGTGGCCTGTTACTGTGTCTAGGCCACCCAGGCCCTAGGAGTGGGCAGCTGGTGCTCAGTGCTGGGAACACTGAGCCAAGGGCCCTAGCAGAGGGAAGTCTGTGTTCCAGGCTGCTCTACATCTCTTAATGGATGGATATTTATGAAGTGTTTGTCACATGCCCAGCACTGTCCTCTGAATTGAGGCAGTGGAAAGAGCCAGCATGAGAAGTCTGAAACTGGAGCCTTCCCTGCCCCCTGCTGTCCACTTGAGGGGCCTGACTTAGGCCTCTTTGCATCTCCAGAGTGAGAGGTGGCAATGGAGGAGGGTCCTTCAAGCTTCAATGGGCTAAGGACTTCACAGCTGTTTTCTTCTGTGTCTACTTGCTGGGCCAGGTGGGGGGAGTAGGGAGAGTGGAGATAGGGAGCAGGTGACTGTAACTTGAGGAAGATTCAGATAATGTAACAAGAGGCAGGAACAAACGGTCTGTGGATTTGCTAGAGGGATGATGTTTGGGGATGGCTCTGTTCAAAGCCACCTCTTGAAAGAGAGAACGCTACAGATATGGATAGATGGACTCCTGTGTGTTCAGGTTTGAGTCAGGAGGATCAGCAGGAGCCTGCTGTCATGTGGGGACAGGCTGGCTGTGTAGCAAGGACTTAAGTTCACAG